GGCTTACATTTAATTTTGACGGTGTAATTTAATAACGGGGAAGCGGGATTGGATTGCTGGTTCTCAGGGGGCCGAATCCTTAATGAACGGGACGGTGGGTGCTGGGCACAGGCACATGCAGGAGACGTGCTGAGGGAGCAGAAGGCAGACACGGGCTCTGGCAGCAAGGCTGCCCCGGGGCGCCTGGCGCCTTGTCCTTGAACGGTCACTATCAAAATGCCGAGTGGCTCCGGGCGGGGGAGCAGCCCCGGGGCCCTGACTTTGGACATGTCAAAGGCTCCGCTTCCGACCTGGCCACAGCCTTGGCCCGGGTCCAGCTGGCGACGGGCCCAAAAGCAGCTGGAGTTTGTTGTGGCAGAGCCCCTTCCAGACCACAGAGGGGACAAAGGGTGACAGGACCGGGTCGTGGCTCCCTCCGGAGCCTGCAGCGTGTCCAGCAGCTCAGGGGCAGGGAGGGTCGTGCTGAAATGAACGGGGAGCAGTTGTTGTTCCCAGCTGGAGGGTCCTGGTACACACACACACATCTCACTGCTGGGATGAGAAACGTGCTTGGCAGGTGGACCCGGGGGCTCTCCTCCCTGCTGGCTGCCCCGTGAGTGTCCTCCCTGTCCCTGGCAGGTTCCACGGCAGTCCTGGGGCTGTACCTGATGTTCGGCTACGGCGCCTCGCTGCTCTGCAACCTCATCGGCTTCACCTACCCCGCCTACCCTCCCTGTGGCACCTGGAGCACGTTCCCCACCCTTAGCTGAGGGAATCCCTGGTAAAGGAACCGGCCGTTATGGTTGGGAAGCTCTTGAGACCTTCCTGAAAACGCTGAGACATGGCGCGGACCCCGTTTGGGGCAGCAGCACCTGGCAGCAGGCGTGCTCCAGGGTTTGGGGGGGAGGAGGTGCCCACTCTGGCAGCAGGACGGCGGCAGCAGCGCCCTTGCCCTCTCCCACCACAGCATCAAAGCCATCGAGAGCTCCAGCAAGGAAGATGACACCACGTGGCTGACGTACTGGGTGGTGTACGGCGTCTTCAGCATCGCAGAGTTCTTCTCCGACATCTTCCTCTACTGGTTCCCTTTCTACTATGCTGGGAAGGTAATGGCTTTATAGGGCTGGAGTCCTCTCACCCGATGGCTGAGCTTGGAGGAACTGAGCGTGGTGGGCTCTGCCTCGTTACCGAGGTCCTGGTCCCTCCAGTAGGCTCCAGGGCCAGGCTGGGGGCAACCAGAGCAGCTCATCTGGCGGGGGCCCCCCGGAGCGGCTCCTCGGCTGCTGCCCCACCACTGTCCTGCTTCTGGGGGTGCCTCGCTCGGCCCCTGTCCCGGCATCTTCCAGCTCTGAGCTCCTCTCCTCCCCGCAGTGCCTGTTCCTGCTGTGGTGCATGGCCCCCGTGTCCTGGAACGGGTCTCAGGTGCTCTACCAGAACATCATCCGGCCCTGCTTCCTCAAGCACCACCGCGCCGTGGACAGCGTGCTGGGCACCCTCGG